CGGTAAAGTCACGTAGAAGGGAAATAATAAATAATACAAAATAAACATAATAAAATCAAATTATCACGACGTTTCGGCCACAACGCAAGCAGCCGTCCTCAGGTGAAGAACAGGTCTGTCGGAAAGACAGCGTCTGAATAAGACAGCCGTGTTCTTCACCTGAGGACGGCTGCTTGCGTTGTGGCCGAAACGTCGTGATAATTTTATTTTATTATGTTTTATTTGTATTATTTTATTATTTCCCTTCTACGTGACTTTACCAAAAGAACCAAGAAGATGAATCCCTGCAGTCACGAAAGCTTTAAATCGAAATTTAACAGTAAAGATTTAAACTTGTAATATTCCGCTGCACAGTATCGGCTCCCTCTCCTACTGAGAGGAAATTACTCGGGAGCGCAACAGCCAATTTCCCCACCAAGCCATTCGGTCCTCTAAATATTAAGGAGTTATGGGGCCACATTTTGCAAAGACGATCATGTTCACATGAAAAACAACACTGCTTTTGTTCGTACGAGTTGCTATTTGAACAAAAACTGCAATCAGGCTTCAGTATCAAAGGCCACAAATAAGAAAATAAAACTAATCTAAAGTGTACACGTAAAATAAATAAGCAAAAAAAAACAGGCGCGCCCAACGTGGGGCTCGAACCCACGACCCTGAGATTAAGAGTCTCATGCTCTACCGACTGAGCTAGCCGGGCGGTGATGTCATGTCACGGATCAAACGCCTTAGACGTCAGCTTGAGTGAATCCGATGCTGAGGATCAAAGTCAGAATCCTGAAGACTGGAAAAATACGATGAGCAATAAAGCTTCTTTTTCAAAGATGTCCAGTTTAAATCTACAAACCTTATACAGAGTCTGACATGATCTGATCGTGGTCTATATACCTGTACAGCAAACCCTTGTTTATTCGACACATGGGGCCGTCCATAAATGACGTCACAAAAAGTCAGACCTCCCCTCAAATATGACTTCACAAAGCTCTGCCCTCCCTCCCCCCAAAAAATATAAACATGCTTCAAATCGCTTTAAACTATTGTCATTGTAGTGCGTATTTAACGTGGCGCTGCACTCTGATGTTGTAGGATAAAACATTTATTTAAAAAAGTCTATTTAATTAAGTAGAACGTGTTGTCTATATTTATTTAAAGTTGCGCATTTTTATGTGAAGTCACATTTCTCAACCCCCCCCCCCCCTCGTCACACATCGTCACAAATGTCTGACCCCCCCTCCCCCCCTAGATGATTGACGTCATTTATGGACGGCCCCAATCGGCAAGTGTACTGTGTGAAAAGTTGGCGTTGGTGGTGGTGATGAAGTTGCAGCTTGATGTAAAGCATTAACTTGCTCGACTTTACAGGCAATACCATTCCGATCCAAATGGTGAACATCGCCCCCCCACTTGATGAAACGCCCCAGTGGGTTGGTGGTGAATCCTATAGGGTTTCACAGTTCTCCGTTTTCACACTGGATTTATTTTTACGCACACGGCACGCGGAGACTTAACGGTGCCAAGGACCCACGTCCAATTACATTAGCGGGTAATGTAGTGCACGACGTTGCTGGGATTAATTCATCAGAAGCCGCAATATATTAACTTTGGCAAGAGATACGTTCATCCACGCAATCGCTCGTACACTCTCGCCAGCACGACCCATTAGAATTAGCCCTCGTGACACCCGAGGTATGATTTATTGAGCGGTTCTGTGGTGGAGTATTTTTTTCTTTTTGAAAAAACCACCGTACATTGTAGTGGCGTCATTCGCTTAACGGTACCGTGGAGTGGAGCGGAGTGCGTGTTGGTCTCGCACTCACGCGTAAGGAACCCGGCCGCTTGAGATGGTCGGTATCTCAGCCACAGCTGGTGAGGGCCGTCCATAAATGACGTCACGCGATTTTGGACGATTTTTGACCCCCCCCCCGCCCCCCCCTCGTCACACGGCGTCACAAAAAGTCAGACCCCCCCCCCCTCAAATACGACGTCACAAAGCTCTGCCACCCCCCCCCCCCCAAAAAACCATATTTGCATTTTGAAAATAAAACATGCTTCAAAATCCCTTTAAACTATTGTCATTGTAGTGCATATTTAATGTGGCGCTGCACTCTGATGTTGTAGGAGAAAACATTTATTAAAAAGTCTACTTAATTAAGTAGAACGTGTTGTCGATATTTATTAAAAGTTGCGCATTTTGATTTGACGTCACATTTCTCCCCCCCCCTCGCCACGCATCGTCAAAAATGTCTGACCCCCCCCCCCCTCTCGGTGCGTGACGTCATTTATGGACGGCCCCCTATGAAAAGACTCGCCCCCGCCATAAGAATGTGGAATTTCCATCACTGTCTCAGCGCTCGTTGGAGCAAGAATTATCTTTTACATCTGTGAAAAAAATTAACCCGTAAAAACAAAGTTTTTCACTATAAATCCTTTACATGCGTGGCATCGGTTTTATTTTATTATTTTAAATTAAATATGAAAAAAAAAATTCTTAAAAAGTGGAAAATTTTGGAAAAACATTTTCACGAAAATAAATTGTCACGCACAACGAGTCTGTGTGCAAAATGTCAGCTCGATTGGATCACGGTAAGTGGGTTAAAAAACGACCGAAAGATTTGCACGGTCGTAAGCGCGCAAGCAAGCAAGCAAGTGAACTTAATATAAAGGATATAAAAAGAACGAACAGCCGCATCGGATTCCTCCCAATCTAAATAAAGATGACGCCATGCACGCGCACTTTACACAACTTGCCGTGCGTTCTCTTCCTCCCTCTAGCGACCAGATCTGAGCATTACACATTTGCGCCTCGACCACATTTTACAAAGACGATCATGTTCACACGTATAACAACACTGCTTTTGTTCGTACGAGTTACTCTTTGAACAAATACTACAATCAGGCTTCAGTCTGAAAGGCCACAAACAAGAAAAAAAAAACTAATCTAAGCGTACATATAAAACAAATAAGCAAAAAAAGCAATCGCGCCCAACGTGGGGCTCGAACCCACGACCCTGAGATTAAGAGTCTCATGCTCTACCGACTGAGCTAGCCGGGCGGTGATGTCATGTCACGGAGCAAACGCCTTAGACTTCAGGTTGAGTGAATCCGATGCTGAGGATCAAAGTCAGAATCTTTCCTAAAGATTGGAAAGATCCGATGAGCTATGAAGCTCCATTTTCAAAGATGTCCAGTTTAAATCTACACGCCTTATTTATACAGAGTTTGACATTCTCCGATCGTGGTCTATATACCTCTACAGCAAACCCTTGTTTATTCGAAAAATGGGGCTCTGACTTTGGGTCCTTCCATAAAAGACGTCACGCGATTTTGGACGATTTTTGACCCCCCCCCCCTCCATCGTCACACGGCGTCACAAAAAGTCAGGCCCCCCCTCAAATATGACGTCACAAAGCTCTGCCCCCCCAAAAAAAATATATACGCTTCAAATCGCCTTAAACTATTGTCATTGTAGTGCGTATTTAATGTGGCGCTGCACTCTGATGTTGTAGGAGAAACATTTATTAAAAGTCTATTTAATTAAGTAGAACGTGTTGCCTATATTTATTTAAAGTTGCGCATTTTGATGTGACGACACATTTCTCAAACCCTCGTCACACATCGTCGCAAATGTCTGACCCCCCCCCCCCTATGTGCGTGACGTCATTTATGAACGGCCCCTTTGCCAAATTATCCAATATACCGAATGATGTCCAGTGGAACTCCCGAATGCCTCCTTCCCCAAGAGAAAAAAAAAACAATTTGTTTTCCAATAAATATTTAGCAAAAAAGGTAACACTTACCATCAGTAACCAGCACTGCACGTGAAGAAGGAGGATTTGCTAGTTTCCATTTGGTATGTGACGGAGGTTGTGGAGGCAGGCCTAATCCACTTACTGTACTGTCTGTTCACTTCATCACTGAATTATAACTTAAACACCAAATGGCACTAACTTAAATTTCACATTTTTCCCTTAACAATTCATTTTGATCTAAAGCTTTCATGACTGCAGGGATTCATATTCGTGTTTCTTTCGATAAAGTCACGTAGAAGGGAAATAAAAAAAGAATAAAATAATATAAAAAATATTTTTCCAAATTTGTTTTATTTTATTATTTCCTTTCTACGTGACTTTACCGAAAGAACCAAGAATATTAACAATTCATGTTTGCTTAAAGACAACATTCTTTTACACTATTACACCACATTACTCGCTGTCAGACGGGATCAGCTGATGTGGCACTCCACTGCTGACAGAGGTGTCTGTGGAAGAATACCCGAACATGATCGGCCATCTTAGACTTGGTCGATGGCTGTTTGATGTGCAGCTGCACATCTACAGGGGGGCAGACTTCTCTGCCATACATGAGGTAGAACGGTGAAAACCCCGTAGCCGCATGGGGCGCCATCCTATATGCGGCCAGCACACCAGGGATTTGAAGGTTTCAATCAACCTCTGACTCGCACACCTGGTAGCTCAACATAGAGGTAAGCATTCGGTGTAGGCGCTCAACCATACCATCCGTTTGAGGATGAAATGGTGAAGTGCGAATCTTATGTGTGCCCAGCAGGCTGCACACATCTCGCAACAAATACAAATACGAATCCAACATCATATGAAGATATATATTCAGGTACATTTTATTTGCATTTATCATCAACACATAATGGCTAACATATTACATGAAGCACTAAGACAGATTGGGTTCGAACTGTCGTAAAAGCGGGGGGTCGTTAGTTGAGCCGTCTAAGTCGGGAGTCACCTGTCGTGAGTTTTTATCTGCCCAGCTACCGACATTCATAACTGTGTGTAAGTTAATGTGTCTGTAAAGTTAGTGCATTGCACTGCAGCTCCAACGTCGCGTTCAATTCCAGCTCCCAGTCAACGTTGGTAACGAATGTCTGAACTGGTCTTGGGCCTCCCCTAGCTCGACTCTGCCTTAAATAGCAGTGTGTGAGCATCAGTTCTGGGGAGGCAAAAGTAGCCAGGCATGATGTTGTGTGCCATGCCGGTATTCATTGGTGTTTAAAAACAGAACTTCCCATGAGTCTTGTTAAAGTCAAAATAGGGATCTTTGTCAAAGTGTGTGCACTTATGTGTTGTGTTTGTCCAGCTATTTAATTGGGGTTTTGTGTCATGAGGGGAAAATTATATTTCCTATTTTCAATGTTTACGAAACTTTCTTGAGCTTCGACCAGTGCTGGAATTTAATGGCTTTCTAAGTCTGTTCCAGCGCTTGCATCTATAGCGTCTGACAACGTGGGCGGTGGGGGTGGTGGCAGCCATGGCATGGGTGATGGATCCGGTGGTGGCGGTGGGGTTGGCAGTGGAGGATCTTGTCGCGGTGACGGAAGTGGCAGAGCTGGCAGAGTTTATGATGGCATCGATGGGCCTGTGGATGCATCGAGCGGCATCCGAGCAGCACTTGGTGACGGTGCTGACAGCTCCGGTGACAGTGGTGGCAGATGTGCCGACGGCGGTGATGTATCTCTTGATACATCCGAAGGCCAGTTTGAAGGACATGACGATGTTGGGGGCGCCGTGGACGGCGGTGATGCATCTTGTGGCCAGATGCTTCATTTCATCGACGTGCTGCCGTGCAAGTTGCTTCCGCTGGGTGATCAACTCGTCCTCCTGCTTCTGCAGCTGGCAACGCAGCTTCTCGATGTGGAGACAGAAGGATTCGTTCTCCCGGTGAAGTCCTGTGGTGGGGGAAATTGGGGGACAGGGAATGCCATGCGGTTATTGATATGTACAATTGTTTCTGGCATTGAACTTAGATTTTTTATTGTCTTTTATCCGAAATATATCATGGTTTGGCATAGATTCTGGGAAGATGTGTCATGCCTTTGCATGTAGCCCTTTCACAATATTTCCTGGACATAATAAAAAAGTTAATTAACGGTCTTTAATTGAATTTTACTCAACATGAGCCTGTCATGAGTCTTCAAATCATAGGGATTATGTATTGGCTTATGAATATCATACACGCAACATCTGGAGATGCTTATTCAGCTTCAAGATGTGATTTGCAGATAAAAAAATAGTAGCAAGTTTGTAAACAACGAGAGAATACTGTACCATGCATGCTGTCAGTCACGTAAAAAATCGTTTAAGCAAAAAGGCTTTGAAATTTACATAGTCATGAGCAATACTGTCTGTTAAGAAAGACCCATAGGCCTAGGTCGCACTCCGAGACATGTAGACAGATTAGATACCCATAGAGACATAGACTCGTTCACACAGAGACCTAACGACATGCACAGAGACACACAGTCGCACAGATGCCCAAACACACTGAGACTGACTCATATATACACCTAAACACAAGCTCACTCACCCAAAGACCCCTCTATAGCCTTAGAATATTTTTGGGGTAATTGCTGTCAGTGAGCACATTTAAAGGCCGACACAGCACACAAGGAGATGGGTGGTAAACACCACGCCCGGCCGCCTTTGTCTCCCTGGTTTGCAATATTTACACATCGTACAGTACCAAGTACTAATTTGAAGCTGTGTCGACCTAGGGGATGCCCACGACAGGTTCAGATAATCGTCATTGTTTGTGGCCGTAAGCGGAAATCGAACTCGGGTCGCCAGGTTCATAAGGCTAATCACTACGTCACTAATACGAACAGCCATCGACACGCACGGAGGTTAAACAGAGACCAACACATGGGGGATGCTGGTACTTACCACAGATCCTTCGGCAACAGACGGTGAGCAGGCTCAGAAGTATCACCGACATGAGCCAGGCCACCAGCAGTACGGCAGTCACTGCCGCTCCGGTCACAGCAGGATTCGTAGAACGGGGCAGCTCGCACGAGCAGCTGGCGCAGGGATTGAGAGCATCGTCTCCTCTAGCGTCAAACCAGCCGTAGAACATTTTCACGTAAGAGACGGACATTTCCCCAGAACGCGCCATTTTTCGTGTCTCGGTCGTGCTCGTCGTCCGTGCAGCGTGCTTACTGCTCGCTCGTGTTAAACGGTGGTTTGTGACGTCAGCATCGACGTCACTTCCGGCTGTGACGTCACTATCGTCTTGTCACGTGGCCACACGTGCCGTGACTTAACACACCACCGCGCTCGAAACGGCCCGATATTTATATTCTACATCACGCTGATTATTCTGTGCTCTTAAAGATAAGGTTCATTGCCCAAAACGTTGCCTGTTGTATGTTTACTTTAAGGCCACGGTTTTACTGTACTGACGAAAGCGTTGAACGTTAGGTTATAGTTGTCGTTCAGCTTGCGTCGCCTAAGATAAGTTGACACTAGAGGGCGATCTAAGCTCTGTGATTGACACCAACAAGAACTGCCAATCGCAACGACGCACTGTTAGGGTAGTGGGGACGTGACCACGGCACTTGTACCAGGCTAGGTGCACCTTGAAGCCACATGAAGTTGTCAAAGGCTCGCTATCAGATGATTGGACAGACTTAGGTGTTACGGGTTGGCCGTCAGATGTATCATTTGTGCTTCGCATTGTGTCAACTTATTGAGCTTTTGCCGCTCAACACAACGCTCATTGTTGTGAGCATCGCTCCTCTGCTCTACGTAGTTGCTCACACATCTGTGCCCTCTGACTTATCGGAAAGTTGGGTAAAGCCAGTACCAGCAGAACTCCACTCTGTCTCCACACTATTATAAAACACTTGATTTGTGCATCAGACTTTTGTCTTCTGGATCTCATCAGCAACCAGGCTTGTCAAACTCATGCTGCTGTATTACCAGATATTATTGGCAAGAGTACTCCATCAAAACAATTGGTATCCTATTCTTGGTTCTTTCGAGAAAGTCACGTAGAAGGGAAACAATAAAATAATAAAAATATAAAACACAGCCAAAAGTTTCCCTTCTACGTGACTTTACCGAAAGAACCAATACTATGAATCCATGCAGTCACGAAAGCTTTAAATCAAAATTTAATTGGTATCCCATTCAACGCCAAAAGCAATAGCGTACACGAACATATTATAGGGAAAACATGAAACAATAATATAACGCAAACTAAAGATGTGTTGTGTACAAACAGCATTGCGTGACTTATGTACATATCTATACTACTTTAGCGTACCGACATAATAATCCTAAACCGCATTCAGGACTGTTCTGACTAATCCTAAGCGCTGCATTGTTGCGGACTGAGGCTCGCATTTTGTTGGCCAAACAGCCCCATAGTCTTCCGCGCTGGCTTTAATAGGTGCTCGCAAACAGCACTTCTCCACTCATTTTCACGGCCAATCGAATGATTGTTTACGTGCGTTTTTGCAGGTGCATTATATATTTTATATTCCATACACATATACAATGTGTGTGTAATTAAGACAAGTGCAGTAGGCGTATATTTACGCATATTAAAACAAAAACACATGATGGACCGTTTTTTTATCTACTTCAGGGTAAATGCCTCGAGACACCTTAATCGCCACCCATCCCATCCCTTCCATCACCGCGATGGTCGTCTTCTCGGGCGTGTTCACACCCCCCCCCCTCGTCCCCCGTTGGGCTGACGTTCCGTGACCAGACTCGTCCATCAATCATCGGTCCCTTTGGATCACGGTGAAGTCCTCCGTTAGCCCACTCTTCCCCGCGGTCAACTTGATGTCCCTTGACTTGCATTTGTTCCTTGATTCACGCGTGCCTCTTCCAGAACCCACTGTAATTCTAAACATTACATCCTATGCTTTTGTAATCACCATTAACGCCTATGGTCTATCCAACTGCTGGGTGAAGACCAATACTACGTCTCTGATTTGCGTTCGCTCCTTGATATGTGCGTTGTTCTTTTAGTTTACCACTCCGATTCCAATTGCGTATCTCCTCGTACTTTTTTCATGTAGAAATGTTGAACTTCTTTCACACCGTACGTAGCCAGCTTTGCTAATCGGAGGTGTGACTGTGCTCATCACGATGTGAGCATTTATATCGCGGCAGCCCGAGTAGTTCGGCATCGTTACTGTTCAGTTGATTATTTACATTGATCTGAGCAAATATTATCCGGTAAATATGTGCAACGAACCGCGCGCGTGTTATCGCCCACAAGATGTAGATCGCACGCAGGAGATCATTACCTGCTGAGCAGACCTAGAGGGGGCCCACACCGAGAGGCCTAGGGGAAACGTAAGTGGCTGGCAGTGTAGCCAACTGTTTTTGGGAGATGACACGGACGCACCTCTGGCTACGATGTTGGCAGCGGGTGGCCGCGCTTGTCCGCTTCTGGATGAAGCCCAATACGATGTGTATGTAGTCGCGTTTCGAACCTGATCTGTGCGATCCTCTTACGTCTCTCGGTGCAATGCCCAACGTGCATCTCTCTCTCTCCGCACGTTCGGCTACATACGGCGCGAAAGAAGTTCAGCGTACATATACACATACGCACTTTCTCGCGCGCCTTTAATCTTTTACCCACGTTTGCTTTGCCCGCTCGAGTCCTGCGCAGATCGACTGCGAGACCTGCGCGGGCTGAACACTTTCTTCCACCCGGGTCGGCATGATTTACCTTCCATTACTGATAGACCGCAATCTCCTCGTTGAGAAATATTTAACTGAAGTATTCACGCGAACACTGGGAGGCACGCGCGCCCCGGGAACGCAACGTGCAGCCTGCTGCAGGAAAGAGCGCAGCGGTCTGGAAATAACCTCCTTGCAATCCCACGCACCCAACGAGTACACACACGGCTGCGACTAAACAAAGCCAAAGATCCCCCGTATAGCCTTTACCAGACTGTTGGGGCAAGTGCTGTTCGCGAGCACATTTGAAGACCGGCACTATACACAAGGAGGCGGGGTGGTCAACTCTACGGTGTCGATGTTTACACAGCGGCACGAGGTTCTCATTTGAAGCTGAGTCGACCTAGGGGGAGGCCCCCGCGGAATCAAACACCTTATCGTTGGGTTCGTAGCGCGTTGCGCTTACCACAATACCACCGCTTCCCCACAAAGCCAACGTTTGAATTGCCGCACACGCGCGCGCGCGCTCACAATGCAACGAGCTGCGTGGACGCGTAGCCATTCAGATCTCGCAAGGATTAGATTCTGCAAATTCGATGAAACGCTGAAAATCCGATGCCGGTTTCATCGTGATAATAACAACGATGATGACGCCCTTCTTGATTGTGGGGGTGGGGGGGGAGTCGGCGATGCTTGCGATGAGCGCACGATGCCTCTTTGAGTTCGATTTCCGCCCCCGGCTTACATCAGTGGCGAGATATTCGTACCCCCTCCTCCTTCCCCATTCCGCCCTGGCCTTGAGCTCGTGTTTTTTCGTAAATATGCCAGCACGGGGAATTTGCTAGAGGGCTGTAAATTAATATAATACTGTGTGCACGTTTGGCGTTTAAAGTGCGTTGTCCCCGGAAAGCCTCTCGCCGTTATGAGACTCTTTTCAGGGAGGTTCCTGCCACAATGCTTGGTTTGTCAAAAAATATATAATTCCATTGGCCTCGAGTGATGGAGGAAACCCGGTGCGGGGATGACAACGCTCAAAAGCTCCGCACAGATGGATTTCAAATCCACCGAGAGTCTTGTTGGTGCCGCGAGCGTTAGAAAGCTCCAGGGCATCGCTGGTATGTTTGTCTTTGGCAAAGCACAAATTGCATCACCAAATGGCAACGTCGGCAGAAAACACTAATCCGAGCAGCTCAGAGCAAACACAGAATCACAACCGCCGTACCCCCCCCCCTCCTAACCAACACGCCGCGTTATAACCCGAGCGGAGCACGGCGCATGCAAACAAGCATGCGCGTCTCGGAGCCACGAAACGCATAATGCAGTGGCTCTCAATCATTTTTGGGGTGACACCTCTCCCACCGCCAATCAAGATCACAGCCCCCCCAACACATAAGCCCCCACCCCCCGCCTAATGTCCCCTCCCCTAACAGCCCCACTCACCCCCCCCCCAGGTGACTATTATATTCTTGCGCATGATGACCGTATGTAGAGGAACACGATGCCAATGTTGAGGTCTGCTGCTGGCAAAGACGAGAAGGCTTCAGGAGAGAGTTCGTGTCGCTGTTCCCTCCTGCTCCGTGGAAGGAGCGCAGACAATAGTGGATTTACGGTCCATAGTTTTGGTTGCGTGACCACAATCACACAGTTGCTTATCTTTAATGTATCTCTATGGGTCTCTATGCAGCTATATGTGTCTATGGGTTTATTGTATGGTCAATAGTTTTGGTTGCGTGACCACAGTCACACAGTGGCTTATCTTTAATGTATCTCTATGGGTCTCAATGCAGCTATACGTGTCTATGGGTTTACTGTATGGTCAATAGTTTTGGTTGCGTGACCACAATCACAGAGTGGCTTATCTTTAATGTATCTCTATGGGTCTCAATGCAGCTATACGTGTCTATGGGTTTACTGTATGGTCAATAGTTTTGGTTGCGTGACCACAATCACACAGTGGCTTATCTTTAATGTATCTCTATGGGTCTCAATGCAGCTATACGTGTCTATGGGTTTACTGTATGGTCCATAGTTTTGGTTGCGTGACCACAATCACACAGTGGCTTATCTTTAATGTATCTCTATGAGTCTCAATGCAGCTATACGTGTCTATGGGTTTACTGTATGGTCCATAGTTTTGGTTGCGTGACCACAATCACACAGTGGCTTATCTTTAATGTATCTCTATGGGTCTCAATGCAGCTATATGTGTCTATGGGTTTACTGTATGGTCCATAGTTTTCATTGCGTGACCACAATCACACAGTGGCTTATCTTTAACGTATCTCTATGGGTCTCAATGCAGCTATACGTGTATATGGGTTTACTGTATGGTCCATAGTTTTGGTTGCGTGACCACAATCACACAGTGGCTTATCTTAAATGTATCTCTATGGGTCTCAATACGTGTCTATGGGTTTACTGTTTGGTTCACAGTTTGAGTTACATGGCCACTATCACACAGTGGCTTATCTT